ATAGTACGGCAACGGGCTGGATCCGGCAGTAGCTTGGTGACCAGGGATTCTCAACTGGGGTCCACATGAATCCTAGGGGCCCATGTAACATTACTGGGGGTCCACAGAAAAAAAAATACCGAATTGGGAATTCACGGTGATATTTTAGTGGTCTATAGGGTAATTCTACTTCAGAACAATTGTTTTACTGAGAATTAAATTTCTACAGTATATATATTGTCAATTTTTATCACTCATTTTTTGCATAAGGGTTAAAATATAAATTATTTAAAATATTGAATACTTATACGACATATATATCTCATTGACAAAGGTCAAAGAGAGATGATAAAGTCGGGGTTTGTTAGGAGAATCTTATACCACCAGCGTCATGTCACTTGACAGTGACATTTCCTTTCTTTTTTTATTACTGAAAAATATTTTTTTTGTGCAATGTCCACAAAAAAATTAAGAGGAAAAGGGGTCCATGGGTAAAAAAAGGTGAGAACCACATAAACATTGATGTCTTATTACAAATGTAAAATATGACTTATTTCGGTTTCTTTTGCTTATAATAAATGCTTTTGGAGACATTATACGATGGATAGTCTGTATACACATTCATTAAAATATATATTTTAATGAATGTGTTAGGACCGAGAAGTTTGTCCGCTATTTAGAGGTACTGTACTGTACATGCCGACGGCCATATTGTATTTTAACCTAGTCATTATGAAGTGAATACGATGGATTACGAAAACATCAAATTTGCGTTAGGAATGTGAAAATATCAAAAAGTATACGTAGAATATATACAGTATATTATTTTATCAGCTGTAAAAACCACATTTTAATTGAATTCTAAATAGCAAAGATTGCACAGGATATTAGAGGTTGAGGCAGACGTTTTAAACGTGTAGGACGGACGTTCGGTGCCGCTTTCCCGTAAGCCTAGAAGTTTGATGATGGTGTTTGGAATGTCGAGCGTGATTCCACCGACTATCCAAACACCATTGTCAAACTTTTAGGCTTACGGGAAAGCGGCGCCGAACGTCCGACCTACACGTTTAAAACGTCTGCCTCAACCTCTCTATTAATTAAATGGAACATAAAAAGGGACTTGTCTGCTTTGTAGTTATCGAGGTGGTGTAATTTTTCGAAAATTTTTTGTTCCCAATAAATTTATTAAAATTACTTTAGCTGTTCAGATCATAAATTCGAGAAAACTTCCTACACTTTGAAGTGGTCGGCAAATCGCTTTCGTAACACGACCTTTGAACTTACAACAAATAAACGCCATTGTCTTAACCTTAAAACTGTTTCTTTTTCATTACTTCTGTACTGCGATTCTCGTCGAATGAATGAATAACTTTGGAAAGTTTATGGTTTTTTGGTACCGTAAGCTTAATTCCAACAATAAGACAAAGTTTAATAGCAATATGTATGACGATAAGTGATGATTGAAAATTAACCAGATTAGTCTTCTTTAACAATTCTGTTCGGCTTTTTACAACCTGACCACCTCCTATTCCTATTTTTAGCCAGTCTTTATTCGACTCCTACGGTCAAAATTCTTCCTCTGAAAGATTATTTGAACTGATTTAGTTTGTTTTAAAATATTTCGTACACAATTCTTTTAGAATATTGAAGGCGAGACTATGTTTTCGTAAGGTGGGTGACGGACGACGGCGTCCTTTAATTAGAGGTGAAAATATGTCTTATTTGAAGGGTCTGGGAATTGTAAAAATGTCCGTTAAGTAGGTGTCCGCTATTCGAGAGTATCCGTTAAAGTTTCATTGCATTTGTTTGACATTTTCAACATTGTTTCATCATTAGTAATGCACATTTCAATACGCTGCAAAATTGACAAACAATACACATTCATTTATGATTATATTCTTTAGATGATTATCACCACAATTTTTACTGAACAAACCCCTCTCCTTTAGCACACCCCTCAAGTAATTGAGGGGATGAAGGTCAGGAAACTATACTGAAAATGTCTTTATTAAAAACTAAATATACATTTGTTCGTGTAGTGAAAACTTTACCTGTACAGTATTTTATGAAATTGCTCTATCCATAAAACATATTAGTGCTTTGTAAAATATTAAAAAGCTTGAATTTTAAGAAAAAACTTTCCTAGTTAATTTACTTAGTCAGTCGCCAACTTTGTATTGTCCAGAATACGAAGATAATAAATGGTCGTTCCTTTTTTTGGGAGGATTTGTCTTCAGATATTTATTTAATTATAATTATTGCCATCATCACCAAGGAGATAAATTAAACCATAATCCAAAGAAATTATAAAAAATAAAACTGGATTAGAACAAATACTTTATCCCGTAATCCAAGTACTAGTATTAAGTTCTTCAAACAAATTTTTGAAAAAAATGTCCAGTTTTCTACAATATTCGTAAAATAGAAGTTTGTTAAAAATAGAAAATTTCAGATTGACTCTTTTTTAAAACAATCTAAAATGACTTATTAGGAATTAAATTAACAACTCAAAATTCACAAATTAGGCACAGAGCCATTGGGTTTATTAAACATCATTTTGTAACATGGTACATACCGAGACATTCAGTATAAACAACCATGTATTCCAAAATCACCCTTTAAACAAAATAAATGATGGGAAAACTGTACCAAAGTTTATCTCCAGACTGTCGATTATTTCCGTATTTTTAGCCACACATTCTCTCTGCTTTATAACCCCCATTGACAAACTTACAAAATTATGATTTTTTTCAAGCAGTGCATAAAAATTACATGACCAAATAAGACAAAAATTAACAAAACGTGGCCATATTGATACGACGGCCCGGAATCTTGCCTCTGGCGTAAAAATGTCTAGGCTGTGACTAAAGATGGAAAGTCGTTCCAGTCGTCGACTTTAGGAACGGATTGTTCGGGAGACTTCCCTCCCTTCATGATTCCTCTTCCGGATCCTCTGGCCTTGCCGCGACCTCTTGCTCGCCGTGAGTCGGCAAAGTTGATCTTGATGTCCACGACCTGTTTCTGACGCCCTCTTTTCACAAATTCGTCGTCATCCTGAAAAATGGAATATTGATTATATTCTCTATATAATCTAATTTGTAAATCTCAATAATTCTATTTTTGACATAGAGCAGAAAAGCAAATGTACACACACTCATTCAAGTGACTGTAAAATGGGTTTCAAATATATTCATGACTTGAATTTCTCACTATTAGTGTTTACCATATTTTAATGCAGAGAAGACATGCACTATATACAACAACAACAACAACAACAATAATAATAATAAAAGAAAACATTCAGTGTATCTAAGACACCCCACATCTTTGGCAGGGTATGACAAATAGACAGTAACGAGTATGTGTCAAGAAAAGATTACTACTAACTTTTTACAAGATAACTGAGGAGTTGAATGTGTATGACAAATGATGCTAATCATTACATGTTATCTAACTTTAATTCTTACAATCATTCATTTAGTAATAGTAGCGATAATAATTAATAATAATTTTATTAATTTAAAGTTTTAAATTAAATATCATTTTTATTCAAGGCNATATTACTCAAATTCTACAAGATGATTCCTCTCATAATTATAAGAATAAACTAAACAATATGAATAAATTAGAGGTATATAAAATATATAATTACGTTACCAAATGTATTGAAAAATTGGAATACTAAACTTACTAAATAAGCTTGAAAACTAATAATAACTAAAATAATGATCAACTAGAACATCGCTGCATAACTATAACTATAATAAAATGTGAAAATTAACTCGTCCTTATATGTTAAAATGTCAAATACAACAATAAGCAGATTATTACAAACAAATAATCATAGTGGATAGTCTAGCAACAGATATAATATTATGTTATATTTTTTTTATCAAAGCATAAAAAAAATGTTCATTAACTAAACTTATCAAACTAAATTAGAAAAAGGAATATTGTTTACTTTATATATTCTTGTATTATTACTAGTCTACTATTAATCCTAAAAGTGAATTGTAATTTAATTCAATGTTAAAATATATCAAAGTAAAACTAAAATGTAATTAATTATATATAACTATTGTACTGTTATGAACTTTCAATAAGTAGTATTGTACTAATTTAAAATGTACTTCCCCAGCAACAGGGAAAATTTCCTACTGCTAAATAAAGTTTGATTGATAATTTAAAATTTTTCCCAAACTATTCTATTTACATGTATTTCTTCCTTGATGTCTCTCTCCTCCATTATTTTTCATTTACAAGATTTTGAAGCTAAATATTTATGGTTATAGAAAAAGCTTTCTAATACATATATGAATAACTCAAAGCCCAATAATTATATTAAAGCCAAATAAATAATTACAGGATTAAATTGAGCTACATTACTGCTACTAATAATCATTAAATACTGGGTAATTTGGCACTAGAAGTATGCAGTAGGTTATGTAGCCCAATTTAATCTGGTAATCATATGGCTTTAATACAATTGCTGGGCTCTGAGATGTTTGTATATATATATAAGAATGCAACAACANAAATGATATCCTGATAATAGACGGAAACAGAATAACATTTAACCTTGAAACGAGAAATTTAGTAAATGTGGATACCTTTTTTCCCTTCAACATATCACCAGAACCAACAAGTTGATATGAACAGCATAGTAAAAATCATCAGATAAAAGTCAATAAAAATAATAAGGCTACCTTGATTTTAAACTGGAAAGTACGGATACACTATGCTAATGGAAGCAGCAATATCCCAATCTATAAACTCCGACCAAATCAGTCTGAACCGAAGCTCTTATCACCCTTGGTACTTGGAAATACTAAACATACCTTCTGTACAACCATATATAAAGAAACCGATCAACTTCAATGTTAAAAGACTGATTGCACAGTTACAGCTAAATAAATATTCTATCTATACCAATAATACTTAAATAGATTTTTCAAGTAATCAATGTCCATGGTGCAAAACTAAAGACTTTTCAATGGAACATCTACTTTTAGAATGTCAGAATTTATCAAATATACGTGAATCCTTCAATATTACTCAAATCCTACAAGATGATTCCTCTCATAATTATAAGAATAAGATAAACAATATGAATAAATTAGAGGTATATAAAATATATAATTACGTTACCAAATGTATTGAAAAATTGGAATACTAAACTTACTAAATAAGCTTGAAAACTAATAATGACTAAAATAATGATCAACTAGAACATCGCTGCATAACTATAACTATAATAAAATGTGAAAAATAACTCGTCCTTATATGTTAAAATGTCAAATACAACAATAAGCAGATTTTTACAAACAAATAATCATAATGGATAGTCTAGCAACAGATATAGTATTATGCTATAATTTTTTTATCAAAGCATAAAAAAATGTTCATTAACTAAACTTATCAAACTAAATTAGAAAAAAGAATATTGTTTACTTTATATATTCTTGTATTATTACTACTATTAATCCTAAAAGTGAATTGTAATTTAATTCAATGTGAAAATATATCAAAGTAAAACTAAAATGTAATTAATTATATATAACTATTGTNTGTATATATATATATATATATATATATATATAATGCTAGAGTAAAAGCAATTGCAGGCTGATAATGGGTGATTATAAGGTGTCCCCAGTGAGTGCCTAGTATGATTATATCTAAGGCAACCTCCCCAAAAAAGCAGATAAAGCAATATCCAAGTCTGAGCAATATCCAGGTTGCTTATTGAAACCATGAAATGAGTGCATACCATACCACTTCCAGTTATTAGGCAAAAGTTATTAAGCAATAAAGCAGAATTAAGGAACTTTGTCAAGGTTGCCATGTTTTTCCCTGCAGTCCAATCCAACTCCCACGCCTTGTCTCTCTGAACCTTATTGCCAACAAGATAGCAACTTTCTTGAGAGCTGTATCAGCGTACTGGCATTTACATCCAAATAAGCCAAAAATAAGATAATTTTCTCACTTTTAATATCCACATGAAAATATAATATACAAACCTTGTTTACCATATTTCAGTTCTTATTTATACATTTCAAATTTATAAATATTTTTTCTATTAAGTTTACATTACTTTCATGTGCCCTCCTGTTGGTATCATTTTTACAAATTAAAAACTTCATTCCTTATAATGATTTAATCATTTCCTTTCAGAAAAATTGCAGTGTTTTTTGTGTTTAAGTTGCCAGCTGTTTGGAATCAAAAGTCACTACATTTAAAAAAGTAATCTTTTTTGCTACCAAAATTTTTGTTACCTTTTTTGCTACTTAATTGAGCAAATAAAAAAAAATACCAAATTATCCAAAGTAAAAATTTAAAAATGACTAAATATTTTATTTAACAAATATGGTAAATTTCTATTTAACATTAACTCTTATCTCCCCAGGGGATCTATTCTGAGCTCTTCCGATAACTCAATGAGAGCGATGCACGGGACATTCAATAAGTCCCCTTAGCAAAAGGCAGTTAATGAACTTTAGACAAATCGCTATTCTGTGCTCCATGTTAAGTGGGTTTCGCTACAGGTAGTCAGTTAAGATACACCTGGGTTCCATGATATTGATAGCTGTTACGCTTTAACCAATCACAGTTTAGTTAACATTGTATTTTTGTCACGTGACTGCAAACCGACATTTTCTAAGCAAAGCACGTGGTTTTTAGCATTGTCGTGTACCAGCACTAGTGAAATAGTTTTGTTTTAAAATGTCGAAGAAAGGACAACGAAGCCAGCGAACTACAAGTTGCCAGTTCGAGATGCTTGTTAATTTTATGGAAGACAACCCTAAATTAATGTCAGGGAAGTTAGATGCTTACTTTACTGTAAAAGATCGCCAGAAATTGTGGCAAGAATCGTCTGAATTCTGATGAAGTTGGCTCACAAAAAGATCCAGAAAGATGGTGAAAAGTAACTGATAGCTTTAAATATAAATATCATTTTAATTTATACATATGCGAATGAAACCTATTTCAGAAATAATGTTCATGCTATAGCTACTTACTTTAAATTTTAACAAGAAAGCAATTACATTATTCATACAATATTCATAAATAGTTAAGGTTATTATTTTTAAGCAATACAACAGCAGCTCTCTCTCCAATTGCTCGTGAAGTAAAATCGTTCTTACATCAAAAGACGCCTTGTTGTTTTCACTTTCGTTATGTTCCTAACAGCAGGTCGAGAGTGATCAATAAGAAAAGCTTAGTTATCACACGTGGCTATCGGAACCAAAAACGAAATGTACAGATTGGAATAGCATTTTCATGGTTGATTAAACGTGAATCACGTGGTTCCGATAGAAACTGGTTTTTATCATATTCATTAGCTTAACAATACAACTCAGAATAGGCCCCCACAATCTGGTAACTGTTAGTTATATCTGATATATTGCTTTAGAGATTTGAATAAATCAAGTTTCTAATTAAGTGTATTTCATTGTATCTTAAGATATTGCTCAAGACACCAGTTTCAGCAGCTTTTTGATTATGTGAATTACCTGATGAAGGGTTTGTAGTGGAAGATGGAAATTTGCACTTTCAGAATTGCAGTACTATGGGGTCAGCTTTGAAAAGAAATTCACTGTGAGTACACATATTGCAAGGGCAATAGTAGCAGCAGCAAGAACTTTGCCATTTACTGCTTCTAGAAGTAATAAACCTTCAAGATGGCAAGGCATGGTTTCTGTATTCTGTTCTGCAGGAATACCCTTGCACATTTTGTCATGAAGGGTTCCAAAAGTGGATGAAGTCTAATTTAAAACTATCTCTGAATGAAAATGTGCCTAGTGAAAGCACATTGTTTAGGATTCTCTCCATTGTTGGAAACAAAGATTTAGATACTACTGCATAAATGTGTAGAGATGCTGACATTCTGCTAATACTACATGAGTAGATTGATGTGAAAGCAGGAAAGTTGCCAATACATTGGTTGTGTACCTTGAAACCTACAAACCACCTCCATCTAATGCAATTGCTGCTTGTATAGAAGTGCAACAGTAATATCATTGTCAAAGAAGTGTTTGCATCTCTTAAACTTT